AGGAAAAGAGGACGTACAGATCTGAACGTCACACCAATGCATATGGCTAATCCTTACCGAAATAGGATGGCCAGGGGGCATTCTCCTCTCCGAGGAAATTCTTCAGAGTAACAGAAGATCCAGAAACAGCTGATAGGAACTTATGAAAGCAAAGACGACCTCAGAGAACCCTCCCCACCATTCCACAATCAAGTCATTTTAGACCTGCCAAACTTGCCCAGAGTTAGACCAAGGAGGAAGCTACAGGCATGTATGCTACTGGTAAGCAGCAATCTGCATTTAAGCATTTAAGGAGTCTCCACCCTGCAATGTCTCTTGTAATGAAAAAGTGATCCTCCTGTGCCCTGCACCAGCATAAGCTGTTAGCACTATCAGGCTACTGCCATTCTCCTAGCTGACTTTTGAAATGCTCCCATACAGGATTAGAGAGAGAAACGGATGTTTGGTGAAAATCTGTGGAATAATGTCTTCCACAAGGCATCTTAAAGCATTTTCAAAGAGTAACAGCAGTCAAGGCTTCCACTTCCTCTAGGATTAAGACCACTACTGTCAACCACATCAACTGGGAAGGGGAAGTCATTAGCTGAAGCCCAGCAGCAAGTCCATAGGAGCCGAGGAGGAGTACAGACAGGATTTGCAGCTCTTTGGCCTGCGTTCTAACAACCATTCAAACCTTTTGCACAAAGCTCTGATGCTGGGTTGCAGCAGCTTTTACAGATGACGGCATTCCTCCTTCCAAGTCATTTAAGGATCAGCATGCAAACAGGATCACTGCTGCATCCTGCATACTTAACCGCATTCTCCATTTTCCTTATGGCTCCCACCACACAAACAGACCATGAAAGGGCACCCTCTCCTGGCCAAGATACACAATAGTCCACACAAAATAGAAACAACAAACAAGTCAAAACAAGCAAAACCATTAAAAAACTGTGAATCCATGGGAAATGCATCTTCTCCCTATTTGACCACCCACACTGAAAAGAAAACCCATGCGTTCACAGCAAACACAACCTGACCGGACCTGAGATAGTCATTATCTGGTTCTCTTTTTTCTACAACCAAAATAAATAGGGAAAATGTTAAAATTCTCATTCAGGTGTATAAATAAAAAATGATTGTAGAAATGAATAAACCAGAAGTGGATGTCCTGGGGTAAATTTATTCATGAGCTAATGCAAGTGTTATCCATATTTCATAATTTTCCACCACTGCAGATGGAAAGCAGGAGAACTCTGTGATATTTTCACATGCACTAACTTCATCTGGGTTTAAAACATGTCAGTGTTGGACCTAGGCTGCATTTGTTACTCTCTCTCCCTCTCACCCTAAGGTGCCCTATTTATTTGGCCACCTGATTGCAGAACATTTGTCAAGACGTTGGTTTATTCACTGCTATAAATGTGGGTTATGGGAATTGCTGAAACTGGCCTTTCATCTACACAGAACATCTAGGTCAACTGCTATTACTGCAGTCCCTCAGACTTCTGCATGTCCCCAGTAAAACCCCAATAAAGAGCATGCAACACAGTAGGACTATCCTTGGTCACACCTACCAGTGGCAATGCTGCATGTGATTCCCTGTCTACTTGCTGTGGCCACACTGCTGGGAATTTTGCTATGGCAGCACAGATGTGTTTGTTTTTTGAAGAACACAAAGATAAACGCAGGTAACCATCTATGAAGGTTAATAGGAGGTTACTCATGCATACAGGTGGCCAAAAAACTGATCTGGCATCAGGCATTCTGCTCAAGGGCCTATTAATGCAAAATCGGCCTTTCTGTTACAAGCTGCCTGCTTCTCTCTCTCTGCGCGCTTCAGGATCTCTGCAGCACAGCTAACCAGAGAGCTTTCCCTTTGCCTCCTCCATCATAGCCCCAGTCCCATCCTGCACTCCTCTGCATCTTTCTTTTGAGGAGTTCAAACACAACAGCGTCATGGATCAAGCAAAAGGAAAGGGAGGCATTTCCTAACACTGAGGCGTCTTGGATTTTTGAACGGGTTCTCAGGGGAAACAAGGAAGCTCCAACATGTGAGTCACTGCAAACACAGAGAGGAAGCAGGAGCATTAGCATAAAGTAAGAAAGCTGGTTCTGGCTGAGAGAAGGCGGATAGCTTCAATATCTTTTTTTATGGGAGGAAAAATCAGGGCAAAAAGTTAACTGGCATATACAAAATCACAGATGGAGTCAATATTGCCAGCTCCACTAGTACAGCAGGCAGGATTTAGTCAACACTGAATTCCCCAGTTTCCAAGGGAGGAGGGCGAGAAAGACAGAGAGAAACTCAGAGACATATACACAACAGCATCATTCATAGGAGTTGATTTTATGTAACAAGGGTCCTGTGTCTGGCCCAGAGCTCTAGGCAATTAAAACAGCAGCCACAGATCTCAAAGAAACAGCAGGAAATTATCCGCTGCTGAACCAGAGCAAAAAGCCTCCAGCCCCTGGAAGGTAAACAAGTTAGTGAGCAGAGAAGCAGCAACTGGCTCACACACCCGAACTGGTTCTGCTCCATCCATCCCATGCATGAACCTCTTCCTATTAAGGAGGAGGGGGGATTACAGCTGCCTTTATCAGGGCCTGGCCCTAGCTGTATGCAAAGAGTAACATGAAGGGGGATGGTGAAGAACTAGCTCCTCACAGTCCGCACATCACTACTGTAATAGGCACGCAAAAAACAGCCCGATAAAGGAAACTGTTACTGTGTTTTGCAATTAGATGGTTGCTACAGGGGGGCGAAGCTGAGAATTGTTTATTGTTCCAGAGATAATGGTGGTAGTTAGCAAGTCTAAGACAGTGGTTTTCCATTCTGGTCTAGGGTCAGGAAACAAATACAGGGTTTACCAAGATAAATGAAAGAAACAGCCACAAAACAGACAAGATGCTGATTAATCTCATGGAAACCCTACTGTCAAGCCTGGCTCCTGGGAGTAACTAGTTTCTCTGTAGCAGACTCTGTAGCAAGGAGGATTTCCACACCACGCTCTCAGCTCTTCTGCAGACCATCCCAAAATAATCTTCTGCCCCTCCCTGTTCTTAGCCCTCGGGTGGATTGACACTAACTCACTACAACTCACTCGGAGGTGCCAGTGGAGCAAGAGGTAATGCCAGGCGAGGCGATGACAGGTCAGGCACCAGAGGAGCCTTCAGCAGAGCCGGGCCAGGCGGTCCTGGACTCACACGGGGCTCCGCAGAGCTGTCAGGAAGCTCAGCACTTCTTATGGCCCTCATATGCTTCTCCCAGAGATAACTAAGGTAGTAGAAACAGTTGAAATCAAGTCCATTTTTGACAAAATATAAGTTCTTTTACGCCAGCGTCCTGATCAAGTGTCAACGAACTTTCCTTCAGTAAATTTAAGAGCTTAACTCTTTGGAAAACCCCCTTTCCCCTCTGCCACTATGCATGACAAACTAAGATGACCTTCCAATCTCAGAAATAAACTATAGCTGCCTAGAATTATAGCTGCCTAGTATGTTTTGGGCCATTCTTGAAGAGATCGTTTAAAAGCAAGAGAGGCGTGTGTCTCCAACAGAAATCTCCGGGCAGGTACTAGGAATGCTCTTCACCGAGCATTTGAGCTGACCGAAAACCAAACTATAACAGTTCCTCTCTTGCAGATCTCACATTGCTTCCAAGATTGTTATCTATGCAGTTATCACAATCGTCTTCAAAAGCTGTATCACGAGTAATTTCCCCAAACCCAGTTTTAGTATTGAAGTTACAAATGAAGAAGAACTCTTAAAACATTTTAAAGTCTGAATAAAAAAGATTGATAAAAATATCATTTAAAAAAAATCCAAAACCAAAATAATGCAAATTTTTGTAATAAAAAGTGCAGTGTTCATTTCCTTAGAGGGATGGTGGAAGGGAAGGGATTTTAAAAGCAGTTTTTAGATGAAGAAGTTTTATATGTCAAAAAGTCTAAACTGTTCCACAGAGCATCGTGTTACAAACTCTTAATGCCCTTGATGGTGGGGAGAAATGCCTCATTTCTTGTTAATGTTGCTGAGTGATATACCATACCAGATAACCAGTCTATCCTACACAAGAGGCCAAGACCACAGCTTTGACGTCATTAGTACTAGTATGACGTGCCTGAAGTACAAATCTGGTCAGATCAAATGCAGGCACACAATCTCATTTGTACTGAATTATCCAAAGCATCTCAGACAGAGCTGATGCCAGCTCTGTACTTGTTTTACACTACCTGTGGGAACACAATAATGGCTGATCTTACATAAAGTTAAATCTGTTCAGGCACAGCGCAGTACACCTGATGAAGTAACAGTAACATGTAAACTTGCTCTTGAACAAACCTGAACCAGAAGAGTAAGCTCTTACCAAGTCAGCACTTTGTGTCAGGCGGGCACAAGCATTTTGAATCCTGCCTTGGGAGTTCCAGAGCTGGGTTTAGAGTGTCAGAGGATGGCAGGCGGTCGGGAGAGACGCCTGCTTCCAAGTGCGCAAAGGAAACTTACAGGTTTGACACGATCCAGAGTATTCAACAAGGAGCAGTAGGTACAGAGAAACAGGAGACTTGTTTTCCACAGGATGAAGAGCCACTGCCAAATGACGGTGCTTTTAAGAGCTTCACACAGATAAAACCCTCATAGGGAGTGGCCCAGTGGGTGGCCACTAAGCCACAGTCCCTGGACTCAAGCTGCATCATTTCCACAGTTTTTAACTAACCAGGGCAATTAAACGAGGCCACCGCCCTGCTCTTGGCTACCCTCTCTCCTGACAGCCCCTCAGGCCGAGGGATCTGTTTTAAGAGTGATAATCGACTCATGACATCATTTTGCTTTGGGACCCCTCTGGCTCCTCACCCACCCCAAAGTCAAGCCACCCACCCTCCAAAGTTCCCAGCATTTTAATTATCCTCCAATGCCTTCAGCAGCAAAAAGAGAGAGCTCGGTTTGCAATAACATTTAGACATCCCTATGCTGCTGTGTTAGGATCTGAACACACAGAAAAACAGCCTCAACGCTGGAGCTGGAAAGTAAAGCAGTGTTAGTATTTGTAATATTAAAGTAACAGCACAACCCAAGGCTCTACCTTCTGCGTCCCTTACACGCGATTATAAACACGTTAAACTTAAGCAGCACTGCAGTTTTATCACAGATATCAGCAGACATGACCCGTCCCTCTTGGTGGACCAGGAGCATCCCTCAGCCTGACCCAATTACACCAGCAAGCAGATACATCAGGCGAGGATGTCGCCAAACTTGGACTACGTTAGATCAAACGGGAAACAAAACCTCAGACCCCTTTTAGCACATCTGCAGGCTGCACTCTGCCTTTTATATTTCACCTCCATGCTGACTTCTTTTTTTAGCTCCACCTTTTATCTAGTGTACGCTCTTGTGTACCTCCCCTGGACTTTCAAGTTGCACATCAACCACTACTTTTGCATGCGCTCAACAGTCCTTTGCATCACCTTCCAGACCTGTGCATGGCTGAACCACTCCACGGGCCTCTCCAAATTCCTGGCCCCTGGAGCCTGGGACCAGCTCTCCCTGTGCCTGCGCCTGCCCCGGCCCCGGGCTCTCCTGCCGCCCTAAGGCTCCAGCAACGCTTCGCTTCGCCAGTCTGCGGGACGGCTGCTCGGAAGCAAACGCTCATACGTTTGATCGTTTGCCACCAACCACCCCAACTGTGTTCTCAGGCACACGACAGCGAAAACGGTCTCTCTCTCGCTTTTCAATTGTTTTGGATACAAAGCAGGAAAAGAAATATCGAAGAGTTATAGCGGTGCGGAGCTTTTTGAAAAGGAAAGAAAACCCAGTTTCCAAGTGAATTCAGCAGCTCCAGAAACCGCTGCTTCAGGCACACAGAGGGTGTCGGAGGATTTTCTACCGCGTTTCTTCGCCCTGCCCGCCTGCGCCTGGCGGGGCAGCGCGGGGACACGGCGGAGCTCCTGCCGCGGAGCCCAGGAGCGCGCCTCCGGGCGCCCTGCCGCCGGCCGGGCCGGGCCGGGCCGGGAGGGGCCGGGACCGG